GTCTGCATTTCTGTATGTACGTAATTATGCATGCATGTATGATTGCGTGTCTATGTATGTATGTATCTATGTCTCTGCCTGCCTATGGCTGGCTGGCTGGCTGGCTGTCTGTGTCTGTCAATCTGTCTGTCTGTCTGTCTGTCCGTCTGTCTGTCTGTCCGTCTGTCTGTCTGTCTCTCTGTCTGTCTGTGTCTGTGTCTGTCCGTGTCTGTGTCTGTGTCTGCGTCTGTGTCTGTGTCTGTGTCTGCCTCTCTGTCTCTCTGTCTCTGTCTCCGTCTCTGTCATTCTCTGTCTGTCTGCGTGTCTGTCTGTCTGTCTGTCTGCCTGCCTGCCTGTCTGTCTCTCTGTGTCTGCCGGTCTGAATATACATGCGCGCATGCTATGTATGTGCGTATGCACGTATGGACATGCATGCATGTATGCATGCATCTATATGTGTACTTATATTATGTGTATGGACGTATGGAAAAACAGATGTATGCATGGTTAGATGTATGGATACATGTATTGCATGGTCGCATGTATGCATGCAAGCTTGCATGCATGCAATCATGTATGCTGACAATGCATGCATGCAGGCATGTATGCATGCTTGTGTGTATGTATGATTGGCAACGCTGCGGGTCCACAAAGAAAAGGATACTGGTTTCCCCTTCAAAGGCATCCGAAGGGGGTCGCCAATCTTGTAACATCCCAATACCTAAGATTTGATCAGGTTTCTTGCAATGAACTTCTCGCGGCATTCCGTAAGCTCTTACTAAATGCTTGGTCCTGTGCTGTGGCGGAACACTTGGCCAGCGAGGCAAACGTAAACACGGCAAGGGCACCATGCCAATGCCAGTGTTTGGGCCATCCTGATTGAAACGCACCTGACAAGCGGCATAATCTACGAAGTCGGTGTTATTCACCCACTCCGGCCGAAGTTTTGCGAGGATGGCTCCAGCAACCACGAAGTAGCCAAAGTGGTAGTGGTGGTCCTAAGGAGATCCGTACGCAGGGTCAGCAAAGTGAGTAGGCAGTTCCTAGATGAAGAGGAAATCCTTTCTTCACCTTGTGCTGGAAAGTTGGGGGCGTGACTTTAGAGCTGGGGCTGCGAAAGCGCATTTTTGTGCAAACCGACAGTGTGTGGAGCGATAGGGGGCCGTGAGGAGCGACACCAATGCCAGCCATGGCAGCCAACTGTCTTTGCCGTCGCACATATGCAAGTTATTGCCGAAGTGTCTCGAGTTGCAGCCATTTCCGGGAGAAATCCAACATTCAAGCATCAGGAAGCAGGGTCATTCGAAGCCTGGTTTTTCACAACTGGGGGCTTGCTGCACTGCCTTTTCCGCAGCAAATCTAGCAGTTTAGCAGGTGCTATTTAAACGGGAGTGCGCTGTGCCAGTCTTGAGTCAGGCTACCGGTAGCCAGCTTCAGCTGGGCATGGGGGAGAGAATGTGCAGCATATTTGTGCACCCACATTGTTCAATCGCAAGGGGACCCTGATTCAACCAACGCGCTCTTTGTGCGAAAGCACAAGCTACATACAAGCTACTCTGCATCTTGTCATGTCATGCTGACATGATAACCTTTGCATCGCCAGTTTTGACCCTTGCATATCTGAATCCACCGGCGCCTTGCAGGGGATGGGTTCCAGAAGTCCAAACATGCCGCCCTGCACTCCACATGTTGCCAAGTTGCGTTGTAGCAAGAATTCCCAAAGTCTGCCAGCATGCAGTGAAGAACCTGGCAGAGATCAACGAACACATACAAGCGTCAACTTCGAATGTGCTGAGCAGGCGCACAGAGACCCGCACTGTGCCACCACATGAACATACATGAACGGCAAGCGGTTTCATGGAAGTACCGGCAACCACGCAAACCGCACATGCGCGATTATGTCAGCGCTGTGTGTCAACGAACAGGTATTGATACCCCTTTCTCACAAGAGCTGAACAGTATCGGGCCAGGTCCAAGTAGCAAACAAACTATCCAGGCCATGCGTGGAAGGACGGGTGCCACCAGCAAAGCTCCATTTCAGTTGCTAGCTGGACTGTCAGGAATCAGTGCCCACTAAAGCGAAACTTGCGCGAGCTAAGGTGGATTTGTCCAAGTCCACTGTTGTAGTGCTCTATGCCCTGAGCTTCAACCATGACTCGTGTTGCAACCATTGAACGCACGAGAAATCCAACCTGACTTCATGATCGCAGGCTAAATGCCAATCGACATGCACACTTATGTATGATTTACAATAATATACACAACACAGGAGCAAAATGAATCATCGCAACACAGCAGGCATCCAGCAAAATCCCAGCCACAATAGCACCACAACCGGACTCGAACCCTTCTTGTAGCAGCAACCCCTCACAAATGACAGGCAGAGGTCGCCAACCAACTTGAGCGAGAGGATGAAGGAATCGCACTCTCGCAAGTTGCTGGAAGGCAACCATAATCTCTACTTCCATTTGCCTAAGCCCTGGAAAAAAATAAAATAAAAATAAAAACTTCCAGTGGTGATAGGTTCCCTTTAAAACACAGAGGGACACATAAAAACAACCTGTACTTAAGCAAATAGACGTCTAACATACTTTGAGCCCCCCGTGTCTGCCAGGTGGCAGGGTTGGAATGCCACTGCGCGTTGTAGCCCAACGCGCTCGGCAGGCCACCCCAGTCCATGTCGTAAACGAGACCCTTGGGGGCCCCAACCTCAGCCGTGCGTCCACTTGAAACTGGGCGTGGCCAGCAGCCCTTGGGCCTGGCCGGCTGTTGTGAGAGCAAGGAACCCAAACAACAAGGACCCAAACAACAAGGAGAACAAGGACCCAAACAACAAGGATGATGGATGATGGGAACCCAAACAAGGAGAACAAGGATACCACTGAATGACTGGGGTAATTATTTAATAGCTTGGCGTCTAGCTCGGGAAGTAACAGCAGGCACCGGGTCGAGTAAAAGTCTGGATGTTCGACGCTCAGTGGCTGAGCTGCCCATGAAATTCCCATGAATCGTTTGGCACCTTTAGATCTTGAGCCCACGACTCTAGCTTGAACATCTGGGACAGGCTGGCAGGTGATTGCTGGACGGCTCGCTAAGTGTGCCAGTGCGAGCCTCACAGGGCTTTGTCACAGCGTGGGGCCCCTTTTGGAACCGAATGGCATCAGTTGGCTTCACATTTAGTACCTCGATGGCGAAGCTTCTGCAACACACTGTGCCCAATAGCTGGCAGTGTTCACTCAAAATGAGTTCAGAGGTCATAAGGGTATGTGCAAAAATAGGGGGGCCTCCTCCCCTCCAAAACACCAACGAAAAAATATAACCCCCCCAAGACAAAGGCTCATGTCATTCCCAGTCACTCAAGTTGGAGTTGCTACAATTGGCACCGAGCCAAGCCACGCAGTCTTGCTTCTTCTCCCGAGTTAGAAGGCACCTTGGCATATCCGGCTCACGCAAAAAGGAAGCGCACGCTTTAGCGCATCCGGGGAACTTCTATAAGACCCTTAACTTTTAAATGGAGTTGTTGGACACGAGTAACAAAATACACCATAATCATGGCATAATTCGTTCTTGTACTAGTGATTTCCGAAACCACCCCGGGAGAGAAGACTCGATGAGGCTGGTGTGGCTTCTTGCTCTTGACTTTCGACTTCATTTACAGCTGGATCCATCACGCCACTGAGCTAAAACCTATTGTGGTTGAATCTAGCCACACAAATGTATAATTCGCTGTGTTATGTCCTGCTGTTTTATTGATATGTGTCTCTCTCGTGCTCTCTTTTTCCCCGCATTTATCTATGCATTGCTTTTGTTTTGTCTTTCTTCTATATTATTAAAGCTGTCAATCATTCCTTATTTTCTTGAATTGAACTCGATATGTCTTTCTTTATGCGTTCCGTTGTGTGTCGCTCTTTCCTTATATGTATGCATTGTTCTGAATCTATTTATTTATATACATATGCTGATTGTTGTTGTTTATGTCATGTCGCTTAGTGTTGTTTTCGCTACAAATTTATTTGTTGCATGTGGCATTTATGTCTGTCTTTCTTCATTGCGTTCCGTCTTTCCCTTAAATTGTCTTCTTCGCTGTCTATTTAGTTTTGTTTATTGTTGTACTTATGTCCTTGAGTTATTTCATTATTCCTTTATTGTATTTATGTTATTTCTTTTGTTAGTTCGTTCTGTTTCTCGCTCTCTCTTTCTCTTTGCCTCTCTCCTTCTCCGTGTCTCTGTGTGCTGCTCTGTCGCAACCGACTCTTTCCTCCTTTCGATGGAGGCCGGGAACCTCAAGCTACCCCGGAGACTTGGTTGGTGTCCTTTGGCTGCCTTAAGCCCCCAAAGGCTTTCCAAAACAAACAAGCATGCAACCACAAACGCACACACATATACATCCATATCCTGATAAATATGCATACAAAAACAGGTACATGTGTGTGTGTGTGCGCGCGTGGATGCCCATACATAAATGTATGCATATGTTATGTATACAAAAAAATGCCGCCGGCCGGCTGGAAAGCCTGGCCCAGGAGGTCACTGCACGCTTCTGACTGCTGCGGGCTCAGCAGCTGCTCCGCCAGGAGGCACACGCTGGCCACCTGCAACCGGCCCTATGCCCCCGCGGCGAGTCGAGCCCTTAAGGCCGGGGGGAGGGGGGGAGGGGCGAGGGGGGGGGCGAGGGGGGGGCGAGGGGGGGGAGGGGGGGGTCCTGGAAGGCCTAAGGCCAACTTTTTGGGGTCTGTTTAAGGGCCCTGACCATGCCAGGTAAGATGGCACACATTGGCACAACTTGATTTGGGACAGTGCATGCATGGCTAAAAACCTGTGATAGAACTGTTATACCATGTTATACCTATGTTCACCCAACTGTCGTAGGGTTGATCACCAAGGGCTCCCAGACAGCAAATCCATCGAATGCGCCACTTAGGTATATTTGCCTGAAGCCTTGGGTGAGCTTCCCCGCGTAAGCCATGATCAAGCATCTGATACGAAGGGAACATGTTCAATGAAGGAGATTGTGCCATCCT